ATGAGCGGCCTAGTCCTAAGGTTGAGCAGCAGGAAACGACCGGCTTGGAGAGCTTTCAAGAGCATCTATGACGTGGTGAAGAGAACAAAGAACACCCGACTCCGTGCCCACCTTTTCGACTACACTGTTTCCTGCCTTAACGTATGCGTCAGGAACCTGGTCGCTACGTAACTAGGATGAAAGATTAATCAGGATTATTGAACGCGTAGTCGAAAGGATGCTTGGAGCGTCCCCTATAGCACGAGTAAAGGAAGGTATACGAAGCACCGATCAACGCCAACGATAAAGAATCAAAGATGGCGTTCTGTACGCCAAACAGTCGAAGATAAGGTGGGCCGGACACATAATGCGTATGAATGACAACCGATGGACAAGAGCAAGCGTTACTGGAATCTCTGGCATGCCAAACGTTCTGCAAGAAGCTCATCGAGCGGATGGTCAAAGTTGTTCACGAAAACTCTAGAAGAAAGCCATGTTGCTCAACGAAACCCTAGAGCGAGCAGAAGCAGCTTGACTACAGAACATTTACTGGCGTCCGCTCGAGTCACTCAACGATCAACAGAACGACAGGTGTTGCACGTGACATTACGCTCTGTTCTAGCTGATACCGACTGCTGTAGGATGGACTGTCGGAAGAAAACAAGTTGTTATCACCGGACAATCACAGCAACAACCGTCTTCTATAAAAGAGCATAGATTGCATTTGAGTGGTGTCCCACTGAATAAGGTACCAACTCGATACTGAAGATACCACATCGAAACTACGAAGAATTGTTGAGATTGACTGGGATCATCGGCTTTGAAGAAGAAACGTTAGCCGAATAAGGTTTATTTATCAACATCGTCTAAGCTCAACAATTTCAACACGTTGATTAGCCATACCAAGGTTAAAGGAAAGTCGGTTCTTGAAATATGTTTTTTGTTAGCATGAACAATGTTTAAAATACCAATAATTCTCTAATAGCACACGAATAAACAAGGTTTTGATGGTAAAGATTTAACGCTAAAAACAAGCGAGAAGACAGAAAACAGACATTCGATAGCAATGTAGGAAAAGTGGACGAGAAGGCAGAGGAAAGTAGAATTAAAGGATAACAACGCAGAACATAACAGCTACCTGGAAATATGGGAACATCACCAAAAGGAAGAGGAAACGAGTGACACGACACCAATTTCTAACACAACAGTTGCGTAACAAATACAGTAATGCGAAAACTTTGTTGCAAGCCACTAGGCAATTTTATTTGAAACAAGTAAAGTAGCTAGATCGAAAACGAATGCGCTTCACCTACATTCTCTAGAATTCGTGTGGTTTCAGACTTCATAAGCACATTAAAATTGGTTGAGTTAATTCATTATTCTTTCGGTCTTCATTAATCTATTGCCGGAACCCACTGTAAAGAATGACAGCTTCTCGTGCAGAAGTAAAAGCAAATTCCTTGATCCCACCATATGATTTTAGCGACCAAACAGCAGTACGGTTTCCACTAATTCAATTCCTTGCGGTAGACAAATTGGTTCACAACTTCGTAAGGAGAACGTGGAGGGCTGACTCGGTTGGTGAAGGTGCAATTGGAGGATTCCTGTACTCTCCACGGTAGTCACAATATCGAGTCCGACACACCTGAACGTGGTTATTTCAGATCAGCATAGCTTTGTCTATGTGAAACAAAATCCTAAAACATCAAGAAAAACTAACCACGTTCCTCAATCTTTTTAACATGAGACGACTGGCTCGGCTGCTGCTACACAGTGCGAGTGCTCCGTCACAATGATCTTCTACAGCAGACGCCAGGCTATACAACTAGCATAACTACAGCAACAATTATTGTATTTCTATTGCCCTACTGAGTTGTTCTGGTAATTTGTGCTCATTTCTTTAGGAATTATAAGGATCTTTATAACTAAATTATACGGAGCAAACTTACACCTCCGTAGATAAGTAAAGGATAAAGGATAAAGATCTCGGCGTTGATCAATCACTGAGGGATGCGCCATGCATTCGACTTCATTAAGTATCGTTGGAGGTGATTGAATGCATGTCTGGCCTTTACAATGACTCGCGGTGGCCTACCGATGTATCGAGCCAATGGTGCTATCCTTTCAGACAAGTCTGCTACCAAATTGCCGATCCCGGAGGGATGGAAGATTTGGTGGGCCATGCACGCGGGAATCGATTCCACTTTTGTGTCGTAGTGGAGCCTCCAACCACTGCACCACAAGCGCCCTCCGTAGATTCATATTCATATTCATTGATAAACGCGTAGATGAGTTTGAGTATAAAAAAATTGCATTTTACATGTCGAGTCGAGCAAAAGCATAGAATCAAGTGACTAGAAACACATGCGAAGTGGTTGTCGCCTGGATATTTCCAGTAACAACCATCCATTCTTATTTCATTGGTATTGCACCAATGCACAACGGCATTGGTTAGAGTCTGAAGCATAATGTTGCGTGACAGTCGCATCTATTTGACGTATGCAACAAATGTGTATTAGGAAATTCGAAATGAATTCAAAGCAATTCAATTATTCTTAGATTGACACACTTAAATAAACCTACTCCCCCATGTCAACACCTTTCATAAAAATATAAGCACGTGGTGAATATCATTACCTTAGCATTATATGGATACCTCCTAAGGGTTTACCACCTCACCGTTGCTGGGAGGCGCTGCTGAGCGTCGCGCTGCGATATACAGTGGGAAAATTCGTCTCCCGGCATGGTCTCCCATGCTGAGAAGGGGTCCGACGTTTCCATAAGGAAGCCCAGTTAAGAGTAAATCAATACCAGAATCCACCACCGCCTGTTATGAACTAGTCGCATCATGCCAAATCCCTATCTGATGCACAAGGGCGGCGACTGCCTGCGGTGGTGACAACCCGGGGCGGACTGGCTAGGCTGACTTCAGGACTCCAGGGAAACACAATGGCTACACCAGTAAAACTCCGAAAAATGGAGAATATGCTGGGTCCGCACGGCCAGTGAGGACGGGCCGTCGAAGTATCCAAGTAAGTATATGGATAACCTAATTTCTCGCCACACAAATGGGCTGACACTGGCTTACACCGCACGGTCTGAATCTCGGTCCAACTCTTCTGTGCGGTGTGAAAAAGAACTAGTTTACCAAACAATCACCGTGCTGCCATAATTGGTGGTCGTTCTCTTAATATATATATGGAATATATGTCGTATTTGTAATATCCATCCATTATATACGGCAACCAAAAAGCACCTATCGAACCAATTCGGTTAAAAACAGCAGATCAATTGATGACCAATAAGGATAATTTCTGCTGTGTATGTCTTAACAGATCTAGAAAGATGTTGTGCGCCAAAGAAAATACCTTTTAAAAGGTGTAAGAAGACCTTACCTAAACGTTAGCTATAGAATTTACTCAATAGAGAGAACCACAAAGAAGCAGAACTCACAGCAAACAAATGGACTTGCCAAACCGCTGTCATCGTTTTCGCAAAGTTCTACAGCAGTGAATTACAGGAAATTTTTTTTATAAAAAGGACAGAATTCAGGAAAAAAATATGAAAAGCCCCAAACCACCATATGTAGGCCCTTCTCACTTTTCATCGGGCTTTTGGGAACAAACTGCTATCTTCAACACGGAAAATAATGATGGCTTATCCAAACATGGTGTTTAAAAAGCTGAGATTTTGTAAAGTTCCGGGAGATGCTCGCCCTCAAAAATAAAGGTGATATATTAATCACTAATTTACAGCCGAACCTGCAAAGCACTCTACAGAAGAGATAAATGATGTTGAGGAAAAAAGAGCAACCGTACTAGTTGAAGATGCAGGGTCAGAGATGAACACCCGTGGATTTCACTAGTATCAAGACAAAAGTGACCGTAATACAGCACCCAGAAATAGCACTCTAGATGGGGACTAGGAAAAAATGAGATAAGGTCAACCAGGTGAGCCATATGATTTCGAAAAGAGCTTGGTATCATTATGAACCATGTGCACCCAATAGCAAAATTCAGCATTCCCTAGAGCGAGCGGAACCCACTGAACTACTCTTGCACGCGACAGGGAGAAATGGAAGATTTACTGACGTCCGCTGGAGTCATTCAACAACCAACGGGACGACAGGTGACACAGGTGATGCGTTCGCACTCTCATAGTCTTAAAAAAGTTCCGAGGTCTTTGAAATACGAGCGGTGGTGGAAGCTAGACAGAATACACTTGTTTAGTGCATAAAGTCCATTTATGAGCAACACAACTTCATAACAAGAATTTCAATATTCCTTCTAGATGAACATTAGAGGAGTTCATAGGGCTATATCATTTCGCCAAAACTATTAACCGCCTCTCTTGCGAACTAACAACGAAGTGCAACAGTATAACTTAGTATCGAAAGGCGATGCGCCGCAACCGTCCGTCTTCGCTTTACTGACGTTATTGCTCTTGTAATATGAAGCAGTAGTAAATTGCAACCAATGCCTGCCGAATTCAATAGCGCGTGAGAAAAACCGTTCGTCGCTCGGATCTCAAGAAAGCAAAATGTTCATGAGATTTGGCTTCGTTTATGATCACCCAGCTACCATCAACGATGCAATGATTTCCGTACGCGCCGCATATGCGTATTAGGACCAGGATGTAAATGTGATGAACAATTTAGCTCCAGAACAGCAAGCACCAATAGCGAATTAAACAGCTTACGAGAGCATGAGAGATATTGTGAAGAAGTCAAAAAACAACCGTATACGTGTCCAAATTTTCTATTTCATTATTTTCCTCGCATTTATAGACATCTCCATAACCTCGAGGCAGCGAAAACTTAATTAATAATTAGCCAGTACTTTGCGCATTCATGATGCTGAGAGTGCACCATATTTCGTACTTGAAACAGGAAATTTAAAGCTCAAAACTAAGTCAAAGGTCAAGAGCAGAGACGCGTTTCAACAATTGGTGGACGAGAACCGTTAGAAATCGGTCCCATTTGTCAAGGACACTGCAGAAAAGTCACTGACACGATGGCGGTCCTAGAAGAAAATTATGATGCTATTCGAGAACCTAGCATGAGCTACGTGAAATAAACAATACGTGGCGAAAAGGTAACTCCGCTAATGCTTGCAAGAGTTACTAAACGGCCAACGAGAGGAGAGGAGAGGAGATACAGTGCACACACAGCCGGAACAACAACCGTAGTTTCAGCAAGCAAGAAAATTGTGTGCGAATGACATGAAACGCCATTTCTACTTCACATCATAATTAAGATTTGTTCTCGAAAAGATGTCATCGTTATACCACTTATTCTCTGCCACAGCACTTCATAGACGCGACGTATACATATGTATCTTGTTCATTTTGAAATCCACAAAAGTGAAACTAACCACTTGTCCAAAAGAGCGCTACCAATTCCTTTATTCCAAAAGTTAGCATGGACTGCTATGATTGCTAGAAACACCTAAACATGGTGAGCAAATATTTTAAAATTTTTAATTAAAGAAAAGTCGAAAAGTACCAATATAAACCATTAAAAAAAACACTACCGGCTTTGAAATGTTGTTCTCTTCAAGGTGATAAGCGACATCTGCTCGATTGAAAACCGACTTAAGAAACTCGATAGCGATGCGTAGTTGAGGATCAGAGAATTCGTAAGAAAATAAGCGATCCATCTAAAAAAAACTTAGGTGTTAAAAGAAATAATACTAACTTCAGACAGCCTTGGTTTTCGGATAACTGACAATATTTTATTGACAAACATATCGTCTGAAGGATAAATAAATATCGCCTAAGAAGTTAGGAGTTCAACAGATCTACAGGAGTGATAACTGCATATTGTTCTAAGGGTGCAGTGGAATGCTTTGTTGAGACTCCTTACCAATTAAGTTTCTGAAGGATTTCCTAGTTCTCTAGCAATATGAAGTTAAGTGTTCAAAATTGAAGAACCCTCCCAACGGTTTACCGCCTCATCATGGCTAGGTGTTCCTGGGTGTCCGACAAGACCTGGGAGAGACTTCGGCCGTACTGACCTCGGGATTCCACAGAACCACAATGGCTGGTCCAGTAAATCTCCGAAAAATGGTGATTATGCTGGGGTCCGCACAAACAGTGAGGTCGGGCCGTCCAAGTATAAATTATCAAGTAAATTTAAGAACACGCCTCTTTTCACATCTAAAAGTTTGGCATATTCACTATCTTCGTATTCTTGTTGAGCAAACGCGAGGTGTTACTTTTATTCTTTATTCACGAATGTCATTACATTGCGCTTCCATGTGAATTCTGTGCGGTTGGTCTTCACGCGACATGCTCAGTGGAGGCCCCATAGAAAGCGGCTCTGGGGAAGGCGAAATCCGCCGAAACGTCAGCTTATTCGTGAATAAAGAATAAAAGTAACACCTCGTGTTTGCTCAACAAGAATACGAAGAATTACTTGATCAATGCCGAGGTTAATAGAAAGTCGGTCGTGGGAGTTACTGCAAGATATTCACTTTCAATCAAATTTTGATGTATTTAAATTCTTGATGTGTCGAAAACCGGAGCAGTGTTGTGCAACAAAGCGAAAACAAAATGCAAATGACATAGTTTTCCGATCTCTGTTCTAATTCATAGAATAATTCTCAACGGTAGATGAAGTGGTCATCTACTTGAAGTAGATGACAGTCAAATAGGACAAATGAGAAGTTAGATTTGGAAGAAATACAATACGATACGATAAGTAAGGATGAAAGAATGAAGCTCTCGGCGTTGGTCAATTCCTGATGGATGCGCCATGCATTCGACTTCATTAGGTACCGTTGGAGGTGAGTGAAGACTTTACTGAGATTAGACTTTACAATGACTCGCGGTGGCCTACAGATATACCAAGCCTGTGCTGCCATCCTTCCAGACAAGTCTGGCACTAATTTGCCGACCATGGAGGGATGGAAGGCTTGGTGAGCCATAGGCGCTGGAATCGATTCCACGTGTACGTTGCACGGGTCCTCCGACCACTGTGCCACACGCGCCTTTAGAATACGATAACCCTGATAGTAGTAACGACATGAACCATAAGTAATCCTCAAACTCTTCTCGCTGTTTGGTCTGCAACAAAAAAATTTTCTGCAATACCTTATGTATTATATCGGTAGTTTACTTAAATGTGATAAACTATCTTCCTTCGCATTGCAAATTTGTAGAAAAAGGAACCTTTTAGGACGAGGATTGACTCATACTCTTTAGAAAGAGCGGTACTTATTAGTTCACTAACGTAAAGTTAGACATTAAAAGAAGCCTAAAAAGCAGTCCTAAAATAAAAAATAAGACAAAAAATAAAAGAGATGAAAAAGAAAAAAGTGGTAAAAATAAAAAGTCCTTAAGAAATACGATCAGTAGTTTAGTAACTCCCACGACCGACTTTCTATTAACCTCGGCATTGATCAAGTAATTCTTCGTATTTTTGTTGAGGAAACGCGAGGTGTTATTATTCTTTATTCACAAATGAGCTGACGTTTCGGCGGATTTCGCCTTCCTCAGAGCCTGGAAAGG